ATTTCTGCCACAAAATAGCAGTACGTGCACTGTTGCGTTCCGGTCTGAAAGATATGAAGAGCCAGTGTAACAACAGGCTGTGAGGCAATCCATCTTCGTCTCTTAAAGGTGACAACGCTTCTCAAGCATTCTTTGCTTGAAGTTGGCTACAGATGTCTATATAGGTTGCAGTAGCCACATAGGTACCATCAGGTAGACTGTAAGTGCGATTATCACCTTAATTTTATTTAAAAAAAAGAAATAAGATATACTTATATACATTTTATTTACTCCCATAACCACCGTAATAATGTAATATTTCCAGTTTGTCAACATAACCGTGCAAAGTTAAGCGCTGTATTAGGAATTAATTGAACATTGCCTTTGCATAACCCTTCTAGGGCAAAAGTGAAAACGATGCGAGAAAGTCAATTAGAGCAGCTTTTTTTCTTTAAAAATGTGAAGACAATAATCGTAGACATAAAACGACAAAAGGAAATTTTCACCGAGTCTCACTGAATGCACCGCTACACACGATTGCATAACCCAATTTTGCGTGCAATTGGAGACTTTCTTTAATCCAGAGGTACTTATTGATTTTCACCATTGACGGGGCACGGTTTCGCTCGGATGGGTAATAATAACAAACAAATTATTCAAATATGGTTAACACATTATTTAAACAGTTTTACGGCCAAATACTTAAACGCTACTCAATGTTTAGCGGTGTCACATTCGCTTTGACTTAAAGTGATAGAGGCAATTGAATATTTGATTTTTTTTTTATTAATGAACTTAATCACAATGTGAATACGCTCCGTTAGTTCATCACCAAAAACAATTACATTAGGTTTGCTAAAAATCATTACATTATAAAGTTCTCAAACCGTAATTAATTACAAAAAGTAGAAGAAGTTATGCATTTAGTTACAATCAAAATTCCCAGATCAATCACATTGAGAAGAGAATGATCGATCAGAGAACTTCACTTTGTAAAGTTTGATTAATAATTTAATATCGTCAGAATGTGGGTTAGCTTAGCTAAAAGTATATTACAATCAGCGTAGTCTTTTAAAATGTGGTCGCACTTATCAATACGAAAGGCAGCGTTGTGGGCATAATCCATCAAGACATGCATTAGGTCCTCAGGAACACCGCATCGATCACAGTTCGATGATTGTTTGAATATTTTGGGCATTAATGTATCGATTAATAGCAATCACGACACAACGATTTTGTTAAATGTTGTACACGACATTCTATTTTTTTATAACGAGTCCTACAAGAACGAAGATATTTATGGTTGTCGACTATATGAAAAACATTGAAGCATCATTTATTTCAAAAACTGTAAAAATTGCCACAAAATATTTAAAACATGCTTTTTTGAGTCGATATGCTTTTTGCAATATGAATATTTACTTACAGGGTAAAACGATTTTTACAGCAGTGTGGAATAGTATATTAAGAATGTAGAAGAAATAGATTGAAAAAATAACAAAAATAAAATCGCCCTTACGTAGAATTTATTTTGAGTATGACTTTATTAAGAAAAAACTACTGTTAGGATGGATACATAAAGGTTATACATTAAATTAAAAATACGTATATATATTTATGATTTTTATTTGCTAATGCGAAGTTAGAGACAGTAACCCGGGGCAACATTGTTTTTTTTTCTAAACTAAACACTAAATTTGTAACATTGGCGAAACTTGTATAACTGGACCACATTTTATCATATTTGCATCGAACACTATTTATAAGTTGTGTAAACAGAACACGCATTTCCACAATATAATTATAGAGCAATTAAAATTACAGCTCGAATCCATTGCAAAATATTTTAAGATGGAGCGATTACAAAGTAAAACGCGTTTCTTCGTTCACAAGTTTACGAAACATAGAACCGCGCATTTACACATGAAATAATGTAAATAATTACACCATACAAAAATAAAGGAATCTTGCATCCGCTTACTTTGATACCCGGCATCAATCACCAGGTTTAAGACAATTCCATTTTGCGCTTGAGTGTAAAGAAAAATCGACTATAGGAAATACGAGGAAATTATCATCATAGTCAGTCCGATAGATAATGAAATGAAAAATTTATAATGACAGAAAACAGCAATTCATTGGAGTATCCGTGGTGGTACCCACACAAGTCTATCTGATGAATATCTAAAGGGTTTCTTTAGCATTGTTTTAAGAACAGAACGATTAGTAAGTATATTGGATAAGATGTTAAAACTCAAACAGAAGGGGAATACCACCCGATCTTTCGATCGTTAATCTTCCTATTTTTGTGCTAGTGAAGAAACAAATCTGTGATTTACTGTTAATATAATTATTTAATAATTATAAACAAAAATTGTAATAAAAAAATTGTAAAAAGCAAGAACCTATACCTACACTATTTGATTCTTAAGAAATAGCAACAACGTAACTTTATTGTTCATCGATTAAAATTTTGTCTAGATTAAAGCATTAGAATAAATTAGAATCTTATACAAGTTTGGTCAATGTTACGATTACTGTTTTTCTTTTTATAGAATAAGGATGACAAACGACCTCACAGTCCACCTGACGATAAGTGTATGCTGCGGCCCATAGACATCTACATTTATCTTCAATTAAGAATCAAGATGCAGATGCGTTGCCAGCCCTGAGGACTAAGATGGAATGCCTCGTTTCCAGTAAAAAGGGTCTCAGATTCTCTACACTCACCATACGAAACACAGCAGCATTAAGCTACTATTATTATATTACTATACTATTCTGTGAGGCCGTAGACCTACCCCAGTCGAGCCGACCCATTCGTGCTGCAACCACAATATAGCTGCAGCGTGGCTCTACCACGTATGCGGAACGGCTGATCAGGTACGTATCCCAGGTCTTTCGGTCACGAAATTTTCAGTAGTCGATGGTAGTTCCGGACTCAAGAAGTTTCCGGTGTTTCACCGCGTGCCTCGGAGAGCACTCAAAGCTTGGTCCTGTAACTGATCTCTCTCCGATCGTGACTCCCGTGGATTACCTACTACACCATTAGACTTTGAAAGTGAGGGGGTTAAAAGTGTAACACCTGTGTTTCCGCACACACTCGTGCGCTATAATCCTGTCCTGCGCAGATGACTAATAATCGTGGAATCTGACCGCCGTGACCGAAATCGAATCCTTGATATTACGGAAATTATTAATTTGAAAATTTTTCTTAATGCCATCCCATTGAAGAAGATACGATGAATGTTGTCGGAACGGATTTTCCGGTAAGGGAACAGTGGCAATTTGTGCTGTACCTCTGAACAAAGTTTTGGAACCCTGCAAAATTTTTTGAATGCAAAAGGTAAGGTTTTAGTGAGGAACACCTTATTTATATTCTCAGAATTATTTAATGATATGAGTGGCGTGTACACAAGGCGCAGTCGAAATGTATCACTCAATTATGGAAAGATATATCTTAGTTTATAAATTGATTTCATTTAAGAAGATCTACCTACATTAATTGTAACAAAGTTTTTACATATTGCAATATTACATACAGGTAAAGAAGCTTGTACGAGAAAACAAAATAATATCAATTTACTTCACCTAGATGTATGAGAATTTTTACCAAGTACAGTTCTACTAAATGGTATGGGGTAAAAAGTTCCGCAGTAGAAACTGAGTAACCGACATAGCCCAACGGATGGGGGGGGGGGGGGGGTTTTGGATTTTGAGGTTTTATGCGCCCCTCCGATATTTCGAGTGCTTTACACCACCTATGGTCTGCCCGCGTATCGGTATATTAAATAAAAAATAGTTTTTGTAAATGTGTAGAATTTATCTCAATACGGGCTATACTTAGTTTTTTTTTTTATAGAATAGCGAGTAAACGAGCTTGGGCTAAGGCCCACCATTTTTACACCTATTAATATTTTTTTATAGAATAAGTCTGACAATCGAGCACACAGTTCACCAGATCGGAAATGGATGCTGTGGCTCATAGACATCTATATTTATCCTCGATTAAAAATCAAAAAGCAGATGCGTTGTCACCCCTGAAGACTAACATGGAACGCCTCACTAAATCGAATAATTAAGAAACAATATGACAATATTATCTTACAAAAATTAAAGTTTAAATACGGAATGTCCAAGATTTGTATACAACCAAAATGAGAAAATGCAGTTAAAAAGCAAATCCATTAGTAACATGTTATAAACAAAAGTAGTTACGTCAAACATACGGTCCTCAGAACATTTAAAGATAAGGAATATAAAACAGTTAATATACGCGATAAACTCCGTAAAACTAGTTTTATTCAAATCATTTTATAGATTTTAACTACCTACTAAGACATTGAATAAAACTATTATTTACGGATTTTATCGCGTTTAATTACTTTAATTTATTTTTATTATTATCCCGACGTTTCGGGTGCTTTACAGCGCCCATGGTCACGGGGGGACTGAGATGCATATATTCACCAACCATGGGCGCTGTAAAGCACCCGAAACGTCGGGATTATAATAAAAATAAATTAAAGTAATTAAACGCGATAAAATCCGTAAATAATAGTTTTATTCAATGTGTAGTGTTCGCGTAAATTTAAGAAATCATTACCTACTAAGACAACAAAGAAATAAATAATTGATGATGCCACCGCCATACGTGGTTTAAATTGCGCACCTTTTCGCTTTTGTAGTTCTATCTCTTTTTTTGCTTTAATTTAATTTGAATCTGATCCTCAAGCATTCCCTTAATTTTGTAAGTCTCTATAGAAAATCGATTTCGAGGGTTCTAGCCGCTGAACTAAAGGAATAGAAAAAAAGACTCATAAACACATGTCTTTTTTTATATTGCCTTGACAAATACACTAGGGACCTAGGGCGAAAATTCGACGAAACCATTCACATTTTCCGAATGAATTATTACTATTACTTCTTTATTATGAAACGCTCATTTTAAGATTCTATAATTTCTTATAACACTCTATAATTGCTTAATTATAATATAATTCCATTTAATATACACTGACCTGTGCCGAACTCTGGTGTTGATGTGCCGCACCTCTCTACCGCCGCTGCTTTCTCCGTCGCTCCCCGAGCCGGCCACTTCCATAGTGTGCGTAGACATTGATTTGTTCACCTACAACACAATATAAATATAATATATTCGTATTCATATATTCGTTTATTATTCAACCTAAAATAACTTGTTGTACCCATAGTACCTTAAGTACTTATATTGTTTCGATTTTCTCCAAGTATATTGTTTTATAAAAGTGAAAAGTTATTAGAGTCCAACTGATAGCAAGTAGCTACTGCAGCCCTAGGCACCTTTTTTATTAATAGAATAAGGGAGACAAGCGAACATACAGTTAATGGGTGCGTTTGGCAGAAAAAAGCGCTAGCAAGCGCTTATAAGCGCTAAAATAGTTTTCGGCCAGGACACGATTGCTACTTCAGTAGCGCTGACATAATCCGCCATTTTGCTTATTTAATTTGTTTGTTTTGAAGTAGAGTTTATAAGTTGTTTTGTGCAATATTAGTTTTAAGTAATATAATTACATGAATAAACATATACATGCTATTAAAAATTCATGATTTGTAAGTTTTTAATATGAATACTTTACAAACATATATTTAAATTAGATTAGATTCCCCGGTTAAACCTAACATCGTGTCCTGGAGGAAAATAGCTACTTACGATTTGACAGCGCTTACTGCTTACTATCGCCATTTTGCTTACAAGCGCTTGCTAGCGCTTTTTTCTGCCAAACGCACCCAATCTGATGGTAAGTGCTGTAGCCCATAGACTACATTTATCCTCAATTAAGAATCAAAATGTAGATACTCCTGAGAACTGAGATGGAATGCTTCGTTTACAATAAAAGGGTGCCGGTTCTTTACACTCATCATACGAAACACAGCAACATTGTGTGCGTGGTCCTACCCTGGTTGAGCTGACCTATTCGTGCTACAACTATAATATCGTTGCAACATGGCTTAACCACGTCTGCCTATTAATTGATTTCAAATAAAGAAGGTTACAGATATGTTATCCCAGAATGCCTCACATCCAATAATTAAACTGGCTTTCTATAACCCTTCACACCTTTAAAATTTGTGTTAAAAATTTTGTGCTGATTTAGTGCTGCACAATTAAATATGCTTAAATTATAGGCCAAATTAGCTCGATCAAAAATTAGAAAACTGCTTGCTTTTAATAAAGCTGTTTTGTGTTATTACAACTTAAATAAAACAACTTAAATAATTTAATAGTAATGGGCCACACATAAGCAGAAATATTTAAATACGAAAGTCAGTTGCTGGAAGAAGAAAGGTTAGTGAACAGTCACCATTCCCTTAATATAGTCCAGTCAAAATAGACATTTGACTTAAAATTCGCATAGAGTTAAAAATTGGCAGTGACGTTAAATACATCATTATAAATAAAAATCCCCTTCGATCCTACTTCTGCAAAAAAAATGTTTTCAAGGTCAAACATACAAAATTAAGGTTTTTCCATTTTTCTTGAAAACGGTAAGTAAGTGAAAATAGGTCAGACGTAAGTTCTAGAGCATACAGTTCTCTACAAAAATGGTCCAGTAACTTTTTCTCTTACGACTTACCATTCGTGAGATATCGCGGTTTTAATAATTAGAAAATTCATATTTTACATAATACGAGTATGCACACATTTCCGCACCACCTATAAGGTACTCCACGATCTATTGTAATGATCAGATCGTATCCTATTGATTTAAATAATGGTAATATTGCTAATGATCAAAGTGGAATAGGTTGTTTTCCTCAAAATTTTATTATATTAGATAATTGTCTAATTCTATTTCGACAATTATTTTATTTACTTTCTTCTTGCAGAATTTCTGTTCGCTGTTCTAAGAAAAGGAATGCATCAATTGTCTCTTCATTAATATCATAAATGTTTTCATATATTTATTTCAATATTGGAGCAAGTCTCACCCTGACGAACAAAACAATCCCACTTGACAATCGCAATTCTTACTACCATCCGTCTTGCATTTACAAAAAATAGTATTAAGCAGTTTTTCTGGAGCAGGCGGGAGTAGAATTTGAATTGGCTCCAAATAATTATCTGTTAATTTACAAAAAATGGAAAAAAACTTCAATTTTGTGCGTTTAACCTTAAAATTTTTTTCCAGAAGCAGGATCGAAGGGGATTTTTGACATTTTATTTATAATGATGTATTTAACGTCTTTGCCAATTTTCAGCTCTGTGCGAATTTTTCCTAAGTTATGACTTATTTTTGTCTATTTTGACTGGACTATAAAAGCTGTAACAGAAGTTGGTTTGCTGATATAATGGGGTATTTTATTCCATAGCCTTATGGCTTCGGCGGCAAAATACTGAGACATAAATTTGGTACGGCAAGGAAAAACACATAAGGTATTTCCCTTGGAGGATCGCAGGTTACGATCTTAAGAAGAACTCAAATATTGAAACTTGTATTTCAGGTATTGAGGAGTGCATGGATAATATAGGATTGAAAATAGGGTGCGACGAATTCTGATGCAGCTACGCTGATGGATAGGGAGCCATTTAAGTTTAAAACTTTATAAAGTTACATGATCGTATTTACGAAGGATAAAAATAAAACGGATGCAATTATTTAATAAACGATCCAATTTGCACAGAAGTACTTGACTCACATCAGGGTAACACACATCAGCATAATAATCAGTGACCGGTGAAACAAGTGTTAGCATCAACATAGCCTTAGTTTCGGTTGCAAGGAAATTCTTTAAAACGATAAAAGCCACGCAGGGTAATTGTCACTCTCAGGGCTTATTTCGCCAGCTGAGATTAAAAAAAAGTTAAAGTTACAGCCTATATACGTCCCCCTGATGGGCACAGGCCTCCTCTCATTTCTGAGAGGGTTTTAGGGCAAGGAAGTGTCCGTCGCGCTGTCACAGTGCATGTTGGCGAACTTCACATGTCTTCGAAATATATTTTTTTATTTCTCATACATGCCGCTGTCCACACGATGTTTTCCTTCACCGCCGAGCACGTGGTAAGTCAGCACTTAAAATTGGTACCGGCGGGGATCGAACCCGGGTTGCTCGCGTACTGTGAAATTCACAGCGAGCGCTACCCATCTGAGCCACCACGGCGCCATCTGAGATTGCCAATTTAAATTAGCATCAATAATTAACCCAAGGTATTTAACTACATGTCTAAGAGGAATATTTGTGTTGAAGTTGTGGCGCCAGTGAATTTAAATCTAATTCAGCTAGATGACGAGGGCTACCGAGAATTATCGCTTGACTTCAGCAGGATAGACTGCAATTCCATAACGTCCGCATTTACAGATGGCCTAAAGATCTAGATTTAAAATTTCGATCGCAGAGTTAACCTCTGCTGGATCAATCCGAGCATACGGCTGTAAATCTCGATCGCAGAGTTGACCTCTGCTGGATCAATCCGAGCATACGGCTGTAAATCTCGATCGCAGAGTTAACCTCTGCTGGATCAATCCGAGCATACGGCTGTAAATCTCGATCGCAGAGTTAACCTCTGCTGGATCAATCCGAGCATACGGCTGTAAATCTCGATCGCAGAGTTAACCTCTGCTGGATCAATCCGAGCATACGGCTGTAAATCTCGATCGCAGAGTTAACCTCTGCTGGATCAATCCGAGCATACGGCTGTAAATCTCGATCGCAGAGTTAACCTCTGCTGGATCAATCCGAGCATACGGCTGTAAATCTCGATCGCAGAGTTAACCTCTGCTGGATCAATCCGAGCATACGGCTGTAAATCTCGATCGCAGAGTTAACCTCTGCTGGATCAATCCGAGCATACGGCTGTAAATCTCGATCGCAGAGTTAACCTCTGCTGGATCAATCCGAGTATACGGCTGTAAATCTCGATCGCAGAGTTAACCTCTGCTGGATCAATCCCAGCGTACGGCTGTAAATTTTCAGTATACAGATGGTAAGAGTATTTGAAATTTCCAGTTATGAGATTTACAAAAATAGAAAATAATAAAGGAGAAAGAATTCCGCCTTGTGGAACGCCAATAGTAAGTTCAGACCAATCGGAGAAAGACTGTTGATTGATTTTAACTATTTTGCTGGCGGCCACGATGATATAAGTTGATAACCAATCCAAAACTGACGATAAACTCAATGGGTGCGTTTGGCAGAAAAAAGCGCTAGCAAGCGCTTATAAGCGCTAAAATAGTTTTCGGCCAGGACACGATTGCTACTTCAGTAGCGCTGACACAATCCGCCATTTTGCTTATTTAATTTGTTTGTTTTGAAGTAGAGTTTATAAGTTGTTTTGTGCAATATTAGTTTTAAGTAATATAATGACATGAATAAACATATACATGCTATTAAAAACTCATGATTGGTAAGTTTTAATATGAATACTTTACAAACATATATTTAAATTAGGTTAGATTCCCCGGTTAAAACTAACATCGTGTCCTGGAGGAAAATAGCTACTTACGATTTGACAGCGCTTACCGCTTACGATCGCCATTTTGCTTACAAGCGCTTGCTAGCGCTTTTTTCTGCCGAACGCACCCATTTATTTACAGATAGCAAGAAGAATGTCATGATCGACTGTACAAAAAGCATTGGAGAAATCAATTAATACGAGAACTGCTAATTTGGCTCCTCCATACCCTCTCGCACATCATTAAGAACTTTATGGAGAGCTATGATTGTACTGTGGTGTCCAGCAATACGTCACCAAATAGAAGTATCAATAATTTGGTTATAGTAAGCCCGAACTATGGTTATAGTGTGAGGCCGAGATATAAGATATGTAAACCACTATCAATAAACACATATTTATGCAATAAGACAGTATAATATGTTTTAGGTACCCAGTTTCCTGTGCAACTGGGATTTTCTGCTACGACTAAAAATAGCATGTGATTAAAACTAGTTTTACGGATTTTATCGCGTTTAAGTTTTAATTTCCGAATTTTCGGGTGCTTTCCAGCATCCATGGTCACGGGGGACTGAGATGAATGACGTACCAATGTCATTGTTAAATCCGGAGTACCTTCAGTTTTTTTAACTATTGTATATGATCCGATCTATGCGAAATGAACTGACTGCGTTTTGAAGACTTGCAGTGGTATGCTTGGGTTTAATTTTAGTTTATTGATTATAGGGTCCCAAGCAGGTGGTAGTACCCAGCCTCCTTCTCTATTGAAATTAGGATGTTTTTTTTAATTCCAATAGCCTCACGTATCATCCTTGGTAGGAATCGGTGTTCTTTCGCAAGGATTTGTGGTCTATCAAATCTGATGTAATGGTTGGGGCCGTCTAGGATATGATCACAATGCAGACTTCCCGGAACGTTGATGCTTCACATCAGCTATATTTTCTTTTAAAAGTAGTTTTAATCAATGTGTAGTGTTCGCGTAAATATAAGAAATCATTATTAACATCTGAATTAAGGTATGGCTTTCTCACATGATCTCGATAGTTTCGTAAACTATATCTACTAAGGTTTCACCACCGCTTACCACCAGATGAAATTGTAGTCAATCACTGGCTTATAATAACTAAAGAAACTTCCTCAATTAAGTAAACAGGAGTGGGCTACAGCACACACACGTGGACTGCTTGTTTTTTTTAAACTTATTATAAGCCAGTTCACCACAATCCGTTCGTATGGTAACCAAACAATAAAAAACTGTACCAATTATATAAAAAAAAACTGACTCACCGCCGGAATATACTTTCGGACAGCAGCTGTCAGTTCATCAATACTCTTCTCTTTCTTCTCGGTGTCCACTCCGAAGAACTTATTCTTTGCGGCTTGATTCATAGCCGTAATTTTTAGAACAGGTGCTGGTTTTTCTTCAACGGCTTGATTCACAGTTTTCTCTGTTGGCCGTCTGAGTTTGCCCAATTGTATCGGTTCGTCAGGTTTCTTCACGAACCTTCTGTACCGAGTGCTTTTCTCGTCATCTTGTTCGTTGCTCTCTTCAGTCGCTCTCCTGCCTAGTTTACCTAACAATGGAAGCTTTTCGTCAACATTATTCACCTGGTTAAGACGCTCCTTTAGCTCATTCGCACCTGGTAATTGAATTTTACGAGGGTATGTTTCTTGTAGCGTCCTAGCGAGATCCGAATCGGTTTTGGATGATTTCAATTTGTTGATTTTGCGTTGAAAACGTCTCGGCTTCGGGTCGGGTAGTTCCTCAGAATTGTCTGAAGAGGAGCAACTCTTCTCAGAGGATGAGACGCTCGATGCGGACGCGGATTCATCGTCTGATGAACTATCGATGCCTTCATCTTTTAGGCCCTGAAAGTATTATTTTTAAAAATAAACATCGATCGTAGTAAAATTTTCAGATTATTTTCTTTCTAAATAATATTTTCTCAATTTAAAATCTGACTGACCAACGATAGATTTTAGGCATTAAGTACTTATATACTTTAATTTACATGAGGAGAAATATTCAAAACATTTTTTAATATATGTTAATAATATTGGCCATTTAAATATTTAACCTTGCCATGTAGGAAAATAAAATTGCATCCAATCAGCATTTTCGAAAATTTGTGAATAGTAGAAAAGCAACATAGATTTTTTTCACTACACCCATAAAAAAAACTAGATTTGTGAATAAACTATTTCTATTTCAAAAAGGTTTAAACAAGCTATCTAGTTTATTAAAATTCAAGCCCCAAATATACTTGTACATAAATATAATCTTGCATTAAATTATGTGATAATTCTTATGCCATAAAATTAAACACACCTCAGAGCTTTCCCCCTTCGCCAAAGTCTTAGGCCTCGGAGGCACCACTGTGGATCCCGACTTCAATATGCCACGGACTTCTGGAGTTATCATTCTTTGAGCGCGCTCTGATGGTGGATTATCATCCAAGTCTGTAAGCAACCAACAGCATAGTCAATTATACATATTATTAAATCTGTCTGAGGATAGGAAATTCAACAGAACCGCTAACAATTTTTTTTTCAAAACACTTCATTTAACCCTCCCCCCCTCCCCTTAATATACAAGGAGTATGCAAACTACCATGTAAATGAAGTTAAGTGCATATGAAAATGTTCATAAGACGTGCTCAGTGCACTATGATGTAATTTAAAAAAATATTATGGAATATTAACAAAATTAGTTTGGATATTCACATTAATTTTGTAAAACTATTATAAACTCACGCAAAAGAAACCACACGCGTTACTTAATACAAAATTAATACACAATACAATCAATTTCAACATACAATGTAACCAAAACGATCACAGATTTATAACATGCATATGTCGGTGCCACAGTCTATTTTCCTTTTTTTTTTTTTTTGATAAACAATATTAGCAATCTTATGATCATATTATATATAAAAACCTTTTTGTTTAAATAAACAACCGTAAAATCAATGAACATATTGCAGGTGTGGTGCCTACTTAAGAAAATCTACCATAATATTTCGTTCCATGGATATCGTAAGAAGCTTCCTCGCTTGCTTGCTTCATAGATACGATCATCTCATTTAAGCCAGGCGTAAAATACACCAGAGCGACGATTGCGAGCAAAGTCAAAGGTGTGAGATGTCAGTACTACATAATATATATACTAGTGATGTGCAACCTTTTCAATTCCTTGACTGACCATTTGTTTTGTAGTTGGCGATGAAAGTTTTACAGTATTAACTAACTTCTCAAACTGCAAACTCTTCGGCGTTTAAGATGGCTCTTTAAAGCGGTAGTTGTGCAGCCTTTTTGCGAGTTTTTTGTGTAATTTACACCTGCCAAATCATCAATATCAAAGTAATAGTTCCAAACAGGACTTGTTTTTATCGTCATGATTGCACTTAAATTACACACACGACTTAAATTTCTAATCAACTAAAAATACAATAAAACCTATTTATGTGGATGCGTTGCTGAATTCTGTTCAGAATTCCGTTATAAAACTTGCGGAAACAGAAGCAGCAACGGATGTTAAAAACCATGCAGAACTTCCGCAGTTGCGGAAACAAAGACAGAGTTCTGTTGAATCACTAATATATACTAGGCTATAATTTGATAAAGGTAGAAAATATTTACCACTGAAAATAAATATTACTCGAGTAACAAAGCATTCACTGCCGGATGAGATGTGGTGGTTTAAGATGTTGATTATTACATTGCAATAAGTTACTATTTAAATTATAAGACACTATAGACTCGGAGTTACTAAAATTATATATATGTATATATACGTGTGTGTATATATATTAAATTAGATTAATTAACTAAAATCTACCCCTAGCCTGTAAACCTGCGAAGTAACAAGTTATAAGATGTAATTTGTACTTCATTTTGTTGTTTGTTAGTAGTATAAGAGAATCCATCACTTAATCTCGCCTATTGAGCTTTCTAAGTGACGAAAGTATGTTGCACAAGAGATATTTAATTTATTTTTGTTATAACAAGTTTATTGTTGTTATAACGCCGTGTGTTGGTGACGTTAAGCAGTCAATTAAGCCATATTAGTATCCCGTGAGTGGCATAATCATGATCAAAACTAAGAAGAATGAAAAAGTGCATTTGCAAAAACCCTCCTATGAGGCCATCTATGGTGATTTCAATTTATATTGCTCACACCGCTATCACTACTCGAATGAATTAAAAACCATGTTATTGTCAAATCAGAAAAATAAAAGAAGTTAATTTTATAATTCTATTGTTATTATCTACTTATCAGAAAGCCGATGCTTATATATAATATGTACAAGATCCATGCAGCATGCATAGCTCTAGCGACAAACAAACACTTACCTTTTTTTTCCCTAACAATTAAAATGATCGATGCGGAATTAGTGCTAAAATCCCAAAATAGAAGCGCTACGGCTCAAGCGCATAACGACAAAACCAAAATAATGAACAAAATCAGACCTAAGCTTCTAAACTTTGAGTTCTGCCGCATGAGAAACTCTAGCGACGTGTTCCGCGCGCTCGCAGAGCGGAACAACTCCATTTTGAGTTGGAAATCGGAACTACGCGGCACATCTTCATGAGTCAGCGACTTAGTTAGCCTCTCGTTCTGTTCCATCGCCTCTTGCACCTGGCTGGCCAGCACCGGCATCGTCCTCAGACGGGAAGCTCTTGGCACCCTCTCTTCCTTTGGCCTCGGTAGACCAGCTACGGGCGGTTTGTGAGTCAACTTCGCGTTAAACATCCTCATCTTCTCCGCAAGCGACATCTTTGCCGGATCATCTTCGTCTAACTTAGCTGTCACCGGTGAGTGCGTGCGTATTTACATTTACATTGTGCAGTGTTTACGATAGAGCCCGGACATACACATAGTAGTCGACATGCAAAAAAAAAGAAACAAAAGCCGACAGTCAAAAGGAAAGCCGTTATGTGATCTCGTGTTGTACAAAATGCATTTATTTTATACATGCTCCTTTTAATCATCTGTAACACGAGTGATGTTCGCTAAAGTACTTTGAGCTATAAAATAATTCATTTATAAAAATAATATATTAAAAAAATTCTGTACAAAAATTAAAAAGCATCTTACCATCTTCGTCTCTGTCTAACACATTAGCTGTGCTCTTGGACTGAGCGAGAGGCAGCCTTTCATTGGAAGGCTCCATGACGCTCTGAGGTTGAATGATAGGTTGAGTTTTGAATCTCTCCACGACGGAAGGACTCTCTTTTAACTTTGAACGACTGTGACGGATCAGTGGTTTAGGCGTTCCTGAAATTTAAAAACAGCAATCAACAATCAATTTCAGATCTCATGTATAACTAACGTTGGACTTCACGAGAAGGCCTCAGGTAGAAGTCAATTTTTTTATCATATCTGCATTGCTTTTGCTTCTAACCGAAACCAGGAGATGGACAGTAGCGTCTTCCTGATAACAACTAGCAAATAAAAAAACACTGCAATTGCCAAACTGTCTGCTAAGTGTGGCAGCTATGGCAGACGTCCCCCTTGTAGTGCTAACTATGAGGAAGCCTATGTTCTACAGCGTGATAGGCTGTATTGAATGAATGAACGAATCTCTGCACTCAATCACATGTCACTCAGTGGCATTGACTACAGTAGATATACAAACATTTTCCTTAAGAAAATGTAATTTTGGCGCAAATATTTTTCAAATTATATCATATTAGTATATAAGTATGTTTGTAGCGTCAAGTCAAAGGTAAGATATAAAATATAATGTCCTTTTACCCAACGGCAACGACTTACGAATAACACGCACAAAGTTGATTACTGCCCAATATATGAAGTAAATCTGAAGTGCATTGTGAAATAGGCTATATTGGAACAGATTATAATAGACATTGTCAAAAACGAGTTTAAAAAAGTTGAAGCAAGTGTCAACGCTCTGCTAAGCAATGGCATGGAAATTAATTATTACCGTGTTCTTACGTACATTTAGATAACGACAACCTTATGCAATACATTTATTATATATTAAAACGAGCTTATATTGTTTTAAGTAGTAAAATTAGTATCAACAGATTTTTTGACCACAAAAAAGCTGCTTAGAGCTCCAGCATTCTCAAAGTCCACATGGGTGCATTTGCCGAATAGAATTTACAGTGTTATAATAATTAGAATTTACTACAGCCGTGTAATGGCGTAAGAGAATCGACACACCCTGTTTTCATCCCGTGGATGTCGTATAAGGCAGCAAAGGGAAACTAAATCAGGAGATGGGTAGAAAGCCTCGTAATGTTAACCGCTCAAAATTATAAAAAAAAACTGTGGTTCACAGGCCGCTTGCCAAGAGTGGCTACTACGACAAACCTATATGAGGCAATTTATAGGAAGCCAACGTTCAGCAGTGGACTTTTGAAAGGCTGTAATGATGATGATGAATTAAACCTGTTACTTAAATTTTGAAAGAGGTAGTGCCACGCTGCATGCATGCATGTAGCCGAATTGGGCCGGCACGACCGGGGAAGTACCTCTCGCTTACACGATACCGGCGTAAAGTGGCAGCTGAGCTGTCGCGTTTCGTGCGGTGTGTAAGTATCCGGTGGCCCTTGGGGTGGGGAGGGGAAAGGAGGGCAACGCATCTGTATAACATCCAGACAGATGTCTATGGGCGTCGGTAGTCATGAAAATGGCTGCGACTGCTCGTTTGCCCCCTTATAATAAAAAAAAAATATTAAAAAAAATGTTTTAATAACTTACCCTTAGCTTGCTGTTGCAGCTGTTGCCACATACTAGCGCGAGCCACAACGCTGTTGCTCTTGACCAAGCCAAGAGCAAATCCGCTGTGGTTTTCGTTACTCTCATCGTCACTTTCTCTTCTTTCAGGACTTCTTAATGCCTCATTCTCGGTGGATTTCCTTTCTCTTTCCATTGCAATGAGATCGCGCTCTATAGACGTACACGACCAATCGTTACTGCTGTTGGTCGTATTATCTTGAATTTCTTGGCTTTCGATCAAGCCTAGTTCTTCGCCTGGAATTTAGTATTACACACATTAGTGACAAAATGTATTAAAATACAGGACCTAATACCGAATGTGAGTATAGGATTTGCGCAGCTGTGTTTAATGAATGTATGAAAAGGTGACGAATACGGTATAATTCATACAGCGAGATAGATAATAAAAAACAGCAATTGCAACCGCTTGTTGACAATGAATACGTATTACATTGACCCAAATTAAAAGGACAGAGAGAGAGAGATCGACAAGGTTAGACGTGGTTTATTTTCAAAACCGTCCTAATATGAGCGTGGCGGCATTCACAAAATCTAATTTTAACAAACACAACATAAACAAACACCAAGTAAATGCATGCCGGCCCGCCCTGATTTCTTACACATGTTTACTTTATGACGTTGTATCAGTTAGTTTTTATCGCGCGGCTCACTAAATAAGTCAAAAGATATTTGCAATAATATGCAGCATTACATTACCATCCCGGAAACCCCACTCTATTAAAATTGTATAATAATTCATAATGGTCAATTACCATAGAAACGACATGATTATGTTTGTTTTGTGAAACACTAACCAGAATGTGGTCCAGAGTCTCTAGATGACGCTCGGTTGTACACTCCACTGTCACAAGACACATTTAAGCTCCAATTATCAGCTTCTCCTTGCTGCCTCTCATCTTCTTCTAATGCGCGGCTGTCTTCATCTAAGGCTACACGAACCTTGTTTACCGCCTGTTCTATCTCTTCAAGAGACTGGTGTGTTTCAGGACTTTCACCTATATTTTCAAAATCAAGGAACGTGGCTTCACCGTAGCGATCCGCTTGATTAGAGGCACTTTCTGGTGAGTCAATTTCTGTAGGTAATTTCACTTTGTAGGAATACGCTCCAAAAGGCGGAGAATGTAGGTCTTCGAAAGGATCTTTTCCGGGTTTTCCCACGTAGGAGCCCTTAGTCGAGATAGCAGCACCGAACTCGACGGGTTGACTCGGAAAACTACAGCCCGCGGAGCCATACGCTTGGAAACTCGCTTGGCTCGGCTCCAAACTGCGAAATGAGAAAAGAAATGCGTTAATGTAGAACATAGCCGCTCGCATGAAAGAGACGGCCGCGGTTTGGGATCACCTTCATATATTATAATGAATTATGGCACGAATGATCTGGTCCAGCATATTAAATTCATCGATCGAGACAAGATTGACACCACCAATGAAACCATCTAAATATAAAATGTCTAAAACCGATATTAAGTACTTAAATCAATTTGAATAACACTACTAAGACATTATTTATAAGTTTAGTTAACATATTTTTTAAATCCAAACAATAAAACATTGCTAGTGCAATACAGTATTCATACAAGTGGTACATGTAGGAGTACACTGATTTTTATAAAAGTACCTAAACACTGCTTTTAATTGAAATTAAATAAAAAACTCAAAATAACAACATAAGTACTTAATAATATTTTAAATGAACTTGTTACATGGTTGTAACACTTCTCAAGCATGCTGTATAAAGTACAAGAGAACCAGAAATAGTGTTTGACCCAGTAACGACTGGAGCGCTTATTTCCGTCATCAACATGCCGCCTGAACAACAAGTAACCGGCACCAGGATTGATGTTAACATGCTACACTGATTTAGTATAAAATAAAACGAAAAGAAGATATTTAAAATTATAAAATAATGCAAAAAATAGTAAGTAAGTCTATACAAAATACATTCATAATAAAGGTTCGAGTCATTCATCGTCAGCATTACACCATATAACAAGTCCATTGATGAATATAGAACTCATAGGCCATATGATCAAGGTTTTAGACTAAATTTATTGTTGTGTCTGAAAATTTAACTACTAGCAAATAAAAAAGAATCAACAGATCTGAATACATCTACACCGACATTGACAAATTTGTAAAAACAGTTGCTGTAAGATAAAAACAAAAAAAAATTTAAACCACCCAAAACCTTATATTCGTATAAAGAATAGAAAAAGAAGACCTTGAAGACTTAAAATTAAGGAATAAAGTCATTCGTAACTAATTAAATGTAAGATGTGTAATCCGAAGATACCTTTTCCCAAAAACTATATTTCAAACATGAATCGAATATACAAGAGTAAGCAATTAGCTTTTTAGGAACTACTGTCTTCAATCTAAGCCTCTGGATAGCAATGGCAATTTATATTGGTACAATCTTAGCTGAAGTAGTTATTTTTTGACATACTCCTGAATAATATTTTACAACTATAGCAAAAAAATTCGACAATTCAATGAAATTTAAATTAAAACAAAAAGACACTATACACGTTACTTACAACTCTGTAAAAGGAAACTTTAAATCGAAATTATCCATATCGTTCTTTTCTTGCTTGTTTTTTATCATTGCACAAAACAACTAAAACTGCACACACCGCTGCCGAGATTAAAGTCATACGCTATCAGTGGTCTGAAAATGATTCAAACACTAAACTGAACCAATAAAGATGATGTCAGACACACAAAAACACGAAATTAGCACGAAACATTCACTGATTTTACGATCTGATAATTAAAATACGAAATAGTAACTACTATTCGTGAACTATGACTTAAAAGCGCTCGCAATAAAGAGACACAGTAAGTATTAGAACTGAATAATAAATGTGGCAAAGAAATAACACAAGATTTTGCGAAAATTTCGAACTCATATAAAAGAATACAACGTTGAACACGTCTTATCTTGTCTGGTCCATGGCTTGGCACTAACAGTGAATTTCATATTATTCTTTTCTTAGCATCACTGACTAATAGTACAGTGACATTTTCAGGTATTTAAAATTAAAATGCAATACATTACCCATAACTCTGGAATAATGTAAAAACTACGAGAAATAGTAATCAGCTGATAGATATTGCCTAACGATAATACAATTAATACAATTTCTAAACAATTCCGGAAACAGCAAGATCTAGAACTATGCAAATATTTTATATCCGCTTACAATACGTTCTGGCCCATCAAAATAATGGCGAACTGCCAATATACAAACCCGAGTTTCTAACAACGTTCTGAACAAATCATAACTAGCAGTATGCGAAAATCCATATTAAGAGAATATTAGCACTAAATATTGATTACTAGCTGCAGACATATAAAACTTACCGGAAAAACGCATTTAAGCGAATTTTCGAGACATTAGGGAAAAGGTAAAAGGTTAAGCATCATTTCTACATACTATATTAAGTACATCATGAATTTTGTAACTTTTTTTGTAACGAATAGTATACAAGTTATACATCCATGACGAATGACAAGTGGTAAAATTAAAAATTTTGTACAACCGAATTCAATATACAAACTACTGGTCAGATCTTGATTAAATTTATATGGGCCCACATGATACTTTCAAATAAAAAAAGAATCATCAAAATCGGTTCACCTACAAAAGTTCTGAGGTAACACATAAAATACAGTCGATTTGAGAACCTCCACCTTTTTTGAAGTCGGTTGAAAATTACAATTAAGTAACCTAGAAGTTACCAATTCTACATTTATACCAATGGCTTAAATAGAAAGGTTCAACTCAAAAACGAAAGTAATTTTTTTTTCGATGGTATAACTACACGAAGTGTGAGACGTGTACGTTTAAAACACACATTTCAATGAAGTCTATAATGATATCAGCCAGGATGATATCAGGAAGTACTACCATAAAAAACAAAACAGTACGAAAAAAATATTTTACCTTGAAGAGATTGATCTCATCTCGTCGACTGTCACAGGCTGTGTTTTGTAACGTTCCTTATCACGAGGTTTTGATTTTGATGTTGAGGGCTGGTCTTTTAAAAACATTTCCTTCGTTAAGGCTTGCTCCATGCACTTAATCCGCGATGCGATAGATGGAAATGTTTTTGGACTATTATCATTTAAATTTGTGTCTTGTCCCCACAAATGTCGTTGTTTATTCTCACAATTCTCATCCACTTTTAGTCTGCGATTATTCAAAATTGAGAGTAATTCATCATTGACATCACACACTAAACTCATCGATCGTGGATTGATTTTAGGTCGAAGGTTTCTCCGGCGGATAACTGCGCTTGGATAACTTTCTTCTTGATCAGGTGCAATATTTAAAACTCGCCGCGGTCCAGCCGTCGACAAATCGCTTGTATCACTCGAAAAATTTGTTACGCAAATGTTTGTAACGTTTTCTGCACAAAACGAAAGACGCGCACGTGGAGACTGACTCCGATCTCTGGTAAGACTGGAACCACGTTGCTTCAAAATAGGTTTAACAGTCGCCTCACATTCTGAACTGGAATGATCAGAAGTTTTTGATCTAAGAAGCGAAGGTCTACGTGAGCTTCTGTCGTCTTCGCTCAAATCGAAACTAGAAGCATGTCCTTCATCACCTGACAGTTTTTTTGAGGTTTTAAGAATTGGTTTCTTAGGCAAATCGAAGTCATGATCATCGTGCTCCGTCAACTTTTTCTTTAAAATTGGCTTTGGAGTCTCAGAAGGCAAAATATCAGGGCACGGTCTTTCTTCAGAAAAACTTTTTTTCTTCAAAATAGGTCTTACAAATTCCTTTTCTTCTTCTACTATCTCTGCACCACCTGCAGCAGCTAAAAGCACAGCTTGAGCAATAGAGACATGCGAAGAGGTTGTACTACTACTGGAGCTAGAATTAGATTTTCGTTTAAGAATACCATGGGGTTCTGGTGAGCTATGCGACAAATCATCATTCGTAAGTTCCTCTTCTCTACTCAATTTTCTTTTAAGAATACCTTGAATTTGGCCGTCCGGTGATCTGTTACGAACAACGTCCTCTAAGGATGATCTTCTGTTTTTTAGAATTGGTTTACTAATATCTGAGGAACCATCATCAGCAAAAGAAACTTCTGGACTACAAGACCGTCTTCTTGCAACTTGCGACTCGTCTAAGCTACGCCGTTTCTTAAGTATACCCTGTCTTTGACGATTTCCAGAACGGCAGTTTCGTGGTTCAACAACACTCGGCGAAAAGGTAACAGGTGGCGAAGCGATTACATTATTAGGAGCATTAGAAACCGTGTTTTCTTCATTAATTGATTTTCTTTTTAAAATTGATACCGGTGTATGATATGACATTTGGGAATTATCAAGACGGCGATTTTGACTAGATGGGTCATTATTGAGATCAGAAAACATTGCACTTTGCCTTTCAAAATCTATTAACCGTTGTGCTGCTGTATCAATATCTTTCAACCTTTCACTTACACCTCTATTATGAATTGGTTTCTCATTAATAAGACCATAATTGTAAGTATGATTATTATTTTGTTGTTCGGATATTGACGAAAATATAGAATTACAACGAGGCTCAGGCGCTTTTAAATTTAACTTATTACTAGTTAAGTTACTTGATAATTTGTTAACTCTGTCTAAAGTTTGCTTTGTTAATGCAGCTAAGCTGTCCATCTCTTGAGAAAGTCTGGAACTGCTTGCATGAGCTCTGACTGTTTCATGAAGGGTAAACATATCTTGGGAGGATTCGCTAACACCAGTAGTATCACTTTTTGGATTTGTGTGAGATTTAACACTCAACGTTATTTCAGAGAATTCGTCCTTATCAACATCCTTTCGTTTCGGAGAAGTAACTATGCTAGTCAGTCTTTTCTTTGAATTATGATTTTTTTCGCTAATATTTTCAGTTTCCTTTTGAGCTCGATGCCTTCTGTCATTACGATTACTATTACTTTCACTCTTGACTTTATCTGAGCTCCTATACAAAGATTTAATTCCGGATGAATCCACTCTAGATTTACTGTCTGGCTGAGAAACAACTTCTCCAGTTTTCTCTGATTTAATGAAATTCGGCTTTACAGGTGATATTGAAGCACGACTAGTTTTCTCTGGAGATTTTTTAGATAATGGAATACAACTTGGTTTTGTGCCAACATCAGATATTCGCCGTTTCTCGTAATTTTTTTTATTAGATGGTGAGGTGGTTGAGGGGTTATTGATAGCTTGCCTAATTCCAAAAGATATATTTGTCGTTTGTTTAGAAGATAGTCTGGAAGACGGTAATGTATTTTCAGTCTTGGGATAAGGTGCTTCACCGGATCGTCGATTCTTCGTTTTTGCAACAATTCCTGTAACAAAAATAAAATAAAATGAGCTAATGAAAGGTAATGGTTAAACCGATTTCATGTTTTTAACGGTCCATGATTTTAGGCGGAATTGAACTATAGCCTCGAATGTTACATATAAGTTCAATGACTTTGCCTACAGCTAGTTTGTATTTCATTCGAACATAAATAATTGTTATTTAAATAAATAAAAAAAAGAAAAGGTAACACAAACACGAAATTGGTTAAAACTTTGCCTACAGCTAGTTTGTATTTCATTCGAACATAAATAATTATTATTTAAATAAATGAAGAAAAAGAAAAGGTAACACAAACACGAAATTGGTTAAAAACAAATTTAAAATAAATTCCTTCTTTGTTAAGGTACCTAAAGGATGAACCACGTATTTATAGATACGTATACAATTCAAAATACCTAAAACTAAATAAATGTCTAACCTGTAGTGGTATAACAGTTACGACATAAATCTAAATGTAAAATTTCTGACTACACGCAGCCACATGATAGGCATGCGACACATCGAAGGTTGCGGTAATCGTGGTTTCGAACCACAAATTGAACGGTATAATGATAACATAACGCAAACCGCTATCTACCATAAAAGGTCTGACAATTTTTTTCGTATCTACGCAATAGACCATAGAAAACATGTAAACTATTGACAGGTTGTAATTTGTTGCTGACTAATATCTTTGTTGCCGTGAGGTGGCGGTTAAGAACATCCACTACCTCATATCTTCCTTGGGTATCGTAAGAAGCGACAGAGGGAAATAGGCAGGAGACGGGCAGCAGCATTTTCCTGATAACAGCGATAGTACAAAAAACTACGGTTGCCAACCCGCTCAACTATGACAATATACCCCCATGATGAGAGTTACGAAGAGAGAGCCCCCATTACCGGGCGGCCCCGCTATTACTGGCTACGGTGGGGATCATAGTAACGGCGGGGCAAGGGGTGCTAAGAATCTTCGGTGGAGGTTCGGTTGCCACTGAGAACTGCCGAGAAAATCCTGGAGCTGGGAAGAGATAGACAAGTTGGGCTGGAATATTATAAGATTATCCGAGGTCTGAATAGAGGGGAACGACACTGTTATCCTCGAATCCGGCAACTTACTCTATCACCGGGAGGGCGACCATCTGTCCCAAGGAAGTGTCGGGTTTATGGTCCACAAGTCTCTCATGAACAACGTTGTAAAGATTGGAAGTGTGTCGACGAGGGTTGCGTACCTTATACTCAAAATCACCAAACGGTATTTGCTGAAGGACATAAAGGTTTACGCACCAACCTCGGCATATCCCGATGAGGAAGGTAAAGGGAATGTATGAGGATATATCCATGCATTCCTCCAAAACCCATTACATGCTGTTAATAGGAGATTTCAATTCAATACAAGGCATGAGAGAGAACGGCGAGCTGAAGATAGGGAAATTTGGGATAGCGTAACGTTAACCAAGGAGCCAGCAGCTGGCCGACTTCATGCAGAATGAGGGACTGTTTATGAACTCTTTCTTCTAGAAGTGGCCCCACAGAAAGTGGACCTATTCGAGCCCTGACGGTTCGACAAAAAATGAGATTGACTTCATTATAAAGACTAGACGGTAACTGTTCAGTAACGTCTCAGTCATCGCAGAGGTGAAAACTGGCAGCGATCACCGAATGGTAAGAGGCACTAAACCTAAACGTTAAGTTGGAGAGGTCTCATCTAATCAAGTAAACGCTCCGCCCCCTCTTTGGAAAGGAAAAAAGGTTCTCGAGTGACAACCTCGTACCAGTAGGCAAAGTGTAGTAAGAATGTAGAAAGTCGATGGATGCAGGTGGTTCAGGACCGTGCTTTGTGGCATTCCTTACGAGTAGCCTATGTTCATCAGTGGACTTGTGAAGGGCTGTAATTATGATGATGATGATGATAATAATATATCTGATATAGAAATACCTTATCAGTGTGGTTTGATGACAACGCAAATTGATTTATACAACATGTAACAAAACCTTATCACCAGAATCAGTGTTCAAGCTTATAGAAATATTTTTTTTTCAAAAAACACATTTAAAAAGAATTTAATTAAAAAAATTAATTTGCAAATTGTATGTGGTTTTATTACCTCTGCATTGGCCGAGAAGTAAGAGGATTGTCAAAGACCCCGCATTACCAATACTCGTGTGAGTTAGAGGAAATAAAACCTACAATTTGTATCTTAATTTTTTTTATTAAAATTATTTTTAATGAGTTTTTTTTTTGAAAAAACGTTGTATATTAATTTGGAAATTTCAATTTGAAAGCTTAAAATTTTATTTACCATTTTTATAGAAGTGACCAACAAGCACCCAGACCATCTGGTGGCCCACACACATCTACAGCTATCCTTTATTGAAATCAAAATGAATATGTGTTATCTTCCCTGAGTACTAAGACGGAATGATTCTTTAATAGATAAATATCTGATGTATGTATATGCTAAACGTAGCATATACATGCATCAGACATTCTTTATTCAGAGAGATAGAGTTAGTAACGCTTACAAAATTGTTTCGAGTATGGTTTATTAACCTTGTGTCTTTAATCTACAGAAGATATTCATGTAGGATAGTATTTTATTTTAAAAAAAGGAGGTAGAATAATAAATCAGAGCTTAAATAATTCAGAGTATGCCGTGTGGAGAAAAATCCATTAGGTACTTTATTTCGCCACGAGCGTGTCGTAAGCCTGCCGGGGAAATTTCACGGCTTTATAACCGGTGGCTTCAACTAGATCGGCGACAGATAGCCGAGTCAAAGGTGGAAAGTGCCTGCTACTGTTATCATCAATACGCCGGTCAAGCGTGACGATACGATACGTGATTTAAAATCTCTCTATTTCAGTAGCTGCCTATCAAGCGACCAATCCAGCGGTCTAATTTTATGGGCTGAAGGCGATAATGATTACTATTATCTTTTTCTTTAAACGTTATCTACACACTAGGATTTTCTACTGTATAGTGGGGGCAGTTTAGAAACATAAATTTCACAAGGACAAACATACAGACCCGGTACAATTACTTGTAGGCCATACAAATATTTGTTCCGTGCGAGATTCGAAGCCGCGGCCCTTAGCGCTGTAACTCATTGCTAAGCCACTGCGCTACTGACCCGTCATAATAACAATATTGTTAAGGAACAATTTAAATTTTTCTACGACTTGGCACAAAAATACTCTAATTATTATTAAGAGTGTAAAGGAGAAAGAGTGAAAACGAGATGGTAAAATCACCACGCTCCTTCAGTGCCCTTAAACGGACTCACAAATTTTCTATTCGCATCATTTGTTTTTTCAATCTGAAAGATTCGTAAGTACATACATAATTTTACGCTAACCCTGATAACAGTATCAAGATGATTTTATTATAAAATACTGCAAAACTTCAAACCCAGCCCGTAAAAGATCAGTAAACGGAAGAGGCAATTCCAAAAAATTAGCATTGTTTATAGTATGAAAGATACCAACCAGGAGACGATACCGGTGTGTCGCAATTTTTTTTGAACGCTCTGTCTGTCTGTTAAAAAAGGTCGGGTCAGAGGAGTGTTAAAGAGACACAAAGATTACAGGTTTAATGGCTACTGAAAAACGTGGGGGAGATAGAAAGTCGATCAAAAACGTTGGATTGAGAGAAGCAATAATTTCATTCATAAAGAAATTCAAGGGTGTTGAATCCACTACTGCCGATCGAAAAGTCGGCGTACCTACTTGCCATCAGAGTTGAGCATTGCATCAATGTTTAAAGTGTTCATTGAAGAAAATTCTCAGTACTCTCATTGCAAAGAGTCATATGTCAGAAGAATATTTAATACGAAATTTAACATAAGCTTTAGTCATCCAAGAAGTGTTGTGTGTTCCACTTGCCTAGAATTGAAAGAAAAAATGAAAATTTAGGACGATTCAGCTAAGGCACAAATCTTAATTGAACTGCAAGTTCACGAAAAAAAGAAGCAAATCATTTTTCAACTTCCTGGCAGACACCGACCCTAAACTAAAAATATTATCGTTTGATTGTGGTAAAAACCAATTATTACCAAAAGTCCCCGACCAAACCTCATATTATTCCCGTCAGCTGTACTTACACAACTACACAATAGTTGTAGGGCATTCCCATGCAGATCCGACCAAAGAAAATGTGTTTTCTTACGTATGGACCGAAGTTGTTCATGGAAAGGGGTCAAATGAACTATCTAGTGCACTGTATCACTGTTTACAAAATAATTTAGATCTCACTGGTGTAGAGGTACTCCGACTAATGGCTGATGGGTGCTCTGGACAAAACAAAAACTCAACCATGATAGGGATGATTTCAAAATGGTTCAGCAGTTGTGCACCAAGGTCACTAAAAAGATGGAACTCATTTTACCCGTGACGGGGCATTCATTTATTCCCCCCGATAAGAGTGTTTGGTGTTGCTGAAAAAGAAATAAAGAAAAGAAATACCATTGTGCAACCGCATGAGTATGTTGACATTGTAAAAAAACAAGCAACTGTTTTTCATCTGAAGGACATTGAGGTAAGTGATTGGAAGACAGCAAGCCAAAAAATCCATAAGGGAACCCAGTCCTTACATTTCAAAATAATGTCTTGCAAGAGGTTCCTATTCACAAGAATGAAAGGAGAACTTCGAGGAGTTACAGTTAGAGGTGAAATATTTTACCACAATGATACCGGCGCTCGACGTTCTATTACTAAACCCGGAAAATACTCTTCAGACATATTACCAGACCCTATCACCGCCTTCCCAAGAGTAAAAAAAGAAAAAATGATGACGTAGATAAGTTGCTAACAAAACACTTTGGAAAAGAGTGGAGACAAAGAGAGGACCTCAACTATTACAAAACTATTATAGACAATCAAAGAAATAATGCGGATGCTGATACGAATGATAATAAAGTAGAGGAGGCATTGGCATTGTTGTGTGAAGAATATGTTGAAGAACCTTGTGTTAGCTATATGATTTAGGCTAGTTTTTTAGATGTTAAGGGTACATGAATTTTCAAATTTTTTCTCAGATAAATAAATACTAATATTATTATATATATATATATATATATATATATATATATATATATATATATATATATATATATATGCATATCGTGTTTTATTTACGTATCTAAAAAGTACATCGTTACTTTTGATATATTTTAGTACGAATGGACAACCCTAACGTTATCGTTAGTTGGATTGTTCAAAAGTAGTCAAATCCTAACAGTTACTTACAAAATTGGTCTAATCCGATTCGCTTTCAGCCAAACCTGGTCAAATCCACACCTTGCAAACAAAAATAGTCAAATCCAGTTTTTAATCGTGTTTTTCTCCGTAAATACAAGCATTAACTCTACTAACTAAGATAATACAAATTATCTTTCAATAATCCTAAACCCCACTCTAATCTATTAGTAACATCTCCGTAGTGATGCTTAGAGTTATCACTACGGAGGCCATCGTGGCGGTACAAAGAAGTCGTGTTTTCTGAATTTGGCATAAAGTGGATTTGACCACTATTGAAAATTACCTCCTGATATACAGTTTTTCTGAGACTATTTCCTTTAACGCTAAATAGCGCGTGAATTTATAACACTATCTTAAATAACCAATCACAATATTGAATAAATTAATAAATACTTTTAAATATATCATGTATAAAGTAAAGAGTTATTATTTTATTACTTTTAATTCTACTATATTTGTCAAAATAAATCTTCATTATTTATACTCAATATTATATAACAAGTTTCATAAACGAAAACGTTTTTCCAACTATCTTGACGCTCCATTAGCGACTGACATTTGATACAACACGTTTGTTTAGTTAGAAGCAAAAACAAGATAACAAATATGCAGATCCCACTATTAACATCTCTTACGGCCATTAGCTAGAAACGAATTTTAGGACTATAGGTAGGTACCCAATATTAGTAATATATGTTTAAGGAGACTAAAAACTTGCCGTCAATTACATAGTACGCGAGCAACCCGGGTTCGAGCCCGCTAGCGCTAATCAAATTGTGAACAGTAATTTTAAAAGATTTACTAAGTGCCTGGCGGTGAAGCGCAATATCGTGAGGAGCTGTCACTACTGTAAAAACGATACAACTAGGAATGTCTTGTGTATCGTGGAGACGGAACATTATTTCTAATCTCTAAGTCATACAAATAATTGATATAAATTCTTGTTCTGTGCGGGAACCGAAACCGTTGAGCTGCAGCGCCGAAACCAAACGAGTAATCAATCACTTTGTCAACGAGTCGTCATGTTCTTTCAATAATATCAATACATAACTTAAGAAGAAAAGATAAAATTATTGTTAAATTTTTTTAGCAAACTGGTTTGAAAAATAACTTTTTAAAGTATCGATAAAAATATTATTAATTATGAGTATACAATGATATTACTTTTTAGCTTAGACTATACTTTCCAGTAGAAAGTTATTATTATTGATCTAATTTTCCAAAGGTACAAATTTTTAAATAATACCTACATTTCAAGACCTCTAGAGTGGGATGCCATGGTTTTAAGAGGATCTCTGTATGTACGTGGGTAATTTTCGCGGCGCATACCTCGAGAACAGGTTGATATTGACGTCAGATTGGTTTTATTCGATGCACAATTATGCAATGAAAACCTAAGTTTTTTACTAAAATCAGCCAAGCATTTTAAAGTCATGAATAAATTAAATGACATAATATGCTAATCGAATTTTACAACTGATAATCTGTACTATTTATGTATCTACTTGTTACTACTACTTCTAATATTTAATAACTAAAAATTTTACAATTCAGGTATCATATTTTTTTACTTATAACTGAGAAATTTGTAGTGTCATACATAATCAATGACTGTAACAAAATGAAATAAACAACTTGTTATAATATTTTATATGTAATAGAAAACAATAACTTTTTTTTTAATCAAAACAGATTATAACTAGCACTTATTGTAAGTCAATTAAATGCTTTTATTACTTGTTCAGACAAGCTTCTGTTTGGGAAAGATCAGCAAGAAACCCAGCGGGAATTCTATTAATATAATAATCAAATGTAACCGACAGTAAATGTTGTGTTATGTAATATGAGCATATTAAGGGGATATATAGTAAGTCAGCTCAAATTCTAATTTCGCCCCCACTTCCCCGCGCGTCGTATGCTATGTACCGACATGTTTGTAACCACTAATACTGTAAGTAGATAGGTCGTTAGATACTTATTTCATTAGGTTTATCATATTTATGCCTGTTTCTTAACGCCAACCCAGTCGCTTCCTATTTTTATTATGGTTATTTCCCATTTTAATTTTACGTCGTCCTGTTGCGTAATGTGTATTCTGATCGTAAGCGACAAAACCTCCCCTTTCGAAGGCCGAATCAAGCTTCAAAACACCGATAGTTTAGGTAATTTCTTTTTACAGTGAAAATAATGGTATTTTAAAAAAAACTAAATAACATAAGCACTGCTTTATAGTTAGTTCAGTTAGTATGCAAAGTTTCATTATCTTATTTAAAGTATTTTACGAATAGCAGCGGTTTATTATTTATTTTGGAGGTAACATTGGATTTTTTTTCTATCGAGAAATTTTTACGGAATCGTGTTTTTTTGGTCTAACATAGTTCTTAACATTAATCCTCAACTTTACCATATATTTATTTCAAAATTAATGCTGCAATATTTTCGGCATAACGGAGAATCTTGCTAACCCATTTGAGGTTATATTTCCCCTTAACATGTTTTCTATCTTTCCACTGTTTTATCTCATCTTTTGCACATGTATTCCGTATTAAATGCGGTTCCGATTTATAAAAACTAGGTCAACGAACGATTAATGTGTGATGATGCTACGACTATATCACTTGGGTCAGATAACGTATTAAACACGAATATTCGGAAATAAAAAAAAATTTTGCTGTAGGCGTTACTATTAGATGGACGTGACTTTTAACGTGGTAGAGCTATGCTACAGCTATATTAGTAGTATAGTCGTAGCACGAATGGGTCGGCTCGACCGGGGAAGGACCACGCTCTCACAGAATACAAGCTTAAAATAGCAGCTTAACGCTACTATGTTTCGTACGGTGACTGCAGATAACCGGAGACCCTTTTTACTGGAAACGAGGCATTTCATCTTAGTACTAGGGGTTATGCTTACAACCATATAGCTGCAGCGTGGCTCTACCATGTATAAAATGATGATGATGAATACATTATCCGTTTTCCCTATTGATTATATACAAGTGCTAAGGTTATTGAATGAGGTAATTTTCAACCCTGGTTGGTACAGCAATATTTGTAAGGTTTGATACCTTCCAGGTACATGACAGGGTGTTAATAGAACAACTTGGTACGTGTTACTAAAATAACAGGTAAGAAACACTATTTTTTCACAAGTAATTAACGTACATAACAATATACAAATTTATAACTTAAAAATACATGTATCTATGTATATTAAACACAAAAAATGTTTCTACCCCTACGTCGGTTACAGACTGAAACCATCCAATCGATGTGCCCCAAACCGGTGTCATTAGAAAGGCAATAATGCGAAAATGGTTTTAGACAATTAAAACAATGCATTAGGCAGTATATAAAAAATAATAAATAAACAAAATTTCCTGTTTTTCCAACAAATAAATGTATTTCGTTTTTAGCGTAGTAGCCATCGATCACTATAGTAGCACACGCCGGGTATCCGCTCGTCTATTATATAATTTCACTTTGTATGTCGTGAGTCACGCCAAAAAAGGTCATTACTCAGCATAATTTGCGGTAAAATACAACGCTAATTATTAGTAATGATTAAAGCCTTGGAGAAAACACTCCTCAGATCAATAAAATAATCAAGCGTTCTCTATTTAGCACTGCATCCACCAAATCATGAATGCGTGGACGACAGCCATGTAATCATACATTTTCCTCCTATTTAATATACTGAAAAGAAAAGTGTGTCAAAATACAACATTAAAAATAAAAAAGCACAAACAGAAAGAAGAAAATAAATAACACTTTTGTCAACAATTTTTTCCTACCATAGATAAGTGGTAAAAAAAAAGAAAATATTAAATATATGTAGACGAAAAAGTTAAAACTGATAACAGTATTGTGTCACTCACTTACACCATCGATCACTAATTAGTGATCGATGACTTACATTTACAACAAGGTGTATTGTGTTGGCAATGGCGGTATTAGAGATTTCATCACATGTTTTGCATGGGGAAATGACGGTAAGGACGGGTTATGTTGGATTTGCACTTGTTAAATACAGTGTTTAACCTTTGCCGTATAAGGGCAGGGCCACGGGGACCCTTTCGAACACATCCGCAGTTCGACCAGCGCCGACCGGCGGTTTTATGTCGTGAGAGACGTCTTGGAAAAACTCCTATAAGATCTTGTCGCTGCTTGTGCATTACAAGATAACCTCTGGAATTTATACCAGATAATAGTACATTCCTAGACTAGGAAGCAGCTTTAAAGGTGATAAACATATAGTTACCGAGTCACTAAGCCGTCTGCTAAGCATAACGATTACGGACTAAACACGAGTAGAAGACCTCGATCATGAACACAGACGGTACCCATTTCGTAATAACTTTTTCATCATAATGTGAATAATCAATAGTATGTTAAAGTTCTTTAATATTTCTATTATAATTTATTTGATGATTGGATGTTGTTCCTATTACAAATTAATCCAAAATTAAGTTGCACGATTCAACATGTGAATTTTATGTACACTTGTAATCAATATGAATAATTAATGTGTGTATATTTAGTGACAATGTCATATGTGTGTATTGTAAGTGTATTCGTTAAGTAAATTAATAAATAAACGTTATTCTAGAAACTATTTAATTTACATCGATCAATATCAATTGAAATTTGTAGCCGCCGGCTGCGATAATAATTAATTTTTATTTCTTTCCACCCATTAGTGTTTACGCCCTACACTCCGCCCTAACTCATCGCAAGTTGTGACGTCACGATGCAACAATTAATTTACAAAGTCATTAGCAGTCGCAGTTAACTGTTGCAAAAACTATTCCATTATAGTTACGGTACTTACAGTAATATAGAGCTCTATAAATAAAATTAATGTCGATTTTGTAATTTTCGTTTTAAATGAACTTTACCTACTTTTCATTTGATAACTTCACACACTATACGGAGATCGTTTTTGTGGACTGCCATGGGGACATCATCATTAATGTATTATATTGTAATACATAAAATGTGTACTGTATTGTTTTCAAGGAGTCTTCGCAACTTTGTTAACTTAATAATATTGTTTTTAACACAGTTTCTCCTTCTAAACTCGAGCTTCTGAGCTCGCTTTGGTCCCGTATTCTATTTATTGAGCTTTCAAGAGACAACTAAAATTTAGTTACATTATAGGCATTAGGTTTGCGAACAATCTTGACAAAAAAGTATATACAACAATAATATATACATTCCTTTTGCAATTTTAATTTCTTTAAATAAAAAAAT